ACAATACTTAAAGAAATTACAGGAAAATACATTAAGATGTTTAAAATGTTACATCCAATTTTTGGTGAGAAAAACAATGGCATTCAAAGTGTTTTTAAACCAGGCTAGTGACTTACTTCCAATCCACCGCCAAGACAGGTACCCATAATGGCGGCTACTACTGGCTTGTCGTGTTTCTCTAAGTGGTCAAACATTTCATGTCCATCTCTTGATAACTTAAATACCTAAAGACAAAGAAAACAAAACTTCATATGTGTTTACTTTTTTAGTTGTACAATGTACGCAAGACAAAAAAATGAGTATAATTAATGTCAGTGGTCTATATGAATTCAGATTACTGTAAAATACTTTATTTTAAGCTGGAATTAATTTTTGCTGAAAAGACTTTTCAGGTGCTTTGTATGGAATTTATTTTCACTGATTTTTGAGTTGAATGTGAAATATAGGAAAAAGGGTATATTCGCTGGATTTTATTTTCACTGAACCATTCCCTAGAATGAAAATAAAGTATTCTACAGTATAGTGGAAATTTTGGAAATATTTAAACTTTATACAGGACACTGGGTGAAAAATTACCATCAAAGCCTAATTATGCAAACTGCTTTTGAGTGGGTGAACCTAACGTAAACTACCGGTATCCACAGTGAGTAATTAATTTAGTGTTAAGTATATTATTATAAACCATATGGAGTATTATAATTATTTTGTTATGTATCATACATGTATTTTTGTTTTTACTTTCAAAATCAGTCAATGTATGTCCAAGTAATGGCTCCAGACAGACTCACGAAAACCACATTAATAGTCCCTATTTTCGGATTTTGTCTGAATGTGGACTCAAAATTATATAAATGAATGCATTTCTTATATGCAAAAAGTATCACCATTTATTATTACAAAACAAAAAATATATGAAAAACAAATTATTTACCTCATCTTTAGTTTTCAATGATGATATCATTCTAGAGAAAAAAAAATTACATGAATATGCATATAAATGAAAATGGACACGCGTACTTATTTTAGCATGGTCACATCCATCGAATGTGCTAATGGTACTGACCACATACTGTGGGGTTAGGTAGGATTGAACTTGCAAGATATAGATGACTATTTAATTTAGGAATTTTCATAATTTGGTTATTCAAAGAGTTTCATAAAGACAACATTTGGCATTCAGCATCAGTATGAACTTTGAGAGAAGAGACTTAGACATGCCTCCTTACCCAATATCAGCACCAGCAATAAAGCATCCAGGTTTTGCAGATATTAGAACAGCTGCTTTGACTAATGGATCTTCCAATGCTTTATTCATCAGCTCTTTAAACTCACTGATGACTTCTTTAGTTAAAGTGTTCACCTGCAATCAATGTCAAATAAATAGATAACAGAATATCTCATGAGTGACTCTCCATTAAAATCATGTACTAAAAAGCTAATTACATGTAATAGTTAAACAAGTGACCTCAGGGTTGCAACAGCTCTGCTGTCTTTGAAGACTTCAATGCATCTTCCTCAAGACAAAATTCATACTGTTCTGTATGATGAAATTTAGCTGTCATGGTTAATACTGTTATCACTACAATCACAGCATATCACAACCAAGGTAGTTTATTTGGTTGTTGCCATGGCAAAGCAATTGCAATCATCTTGTTACAAATCTCAGTTGTCCATCAAAGGCTCAAAGCATGTCGTAACAAAGTTAAAAAAAAAATCTTACAGAAGTGCAGGGATTTTTTTAAACAAAGAACAGGGACACCATGCGCCCCCTACCCTGGGGAGCAGATCCTCTGGCAACCATAAAATTCTGATTGACCAGGGATCACATGTGGCCTCAGACTTCAACTGTGACCTGTCAGATAATTTTGGCCCCAAGGAAGCTATAGAATGCTCCAGGGAGAACCCCATCTCCCCCACTTGGTGGCGTGGCTGAATTGCAGTGGCGCCACTGAATTGCAGTTCACCCTCTTTCAGTTTTTTTCTAGAAAAACCCCTAGAAGTCTAACCACTCTACCTATATACAAAGTATCAGATCAATTGAGCTGAATGTTTTCAAGAAGTCAAAAAATAGCATTTTGTAAATAATTTTGACAAAAATATTCACTAAAAATAAGGAATAGAATATATCAACACGATGTACATCAAAGAATCAAGCAATCTGGGTGGCAGTTTTTGAGAAGAAGTTGAATATAACATTCTTTAAGAGAATTGAAAATATTGTCACAAAATGAACAAACAGAAGTCCACCCAAGGTAACTACATAATAAGAATTAAAGTAATTGGGCTGTTAGTTTTAAAGAAGAGAAAGAAAATAGTTAATCAGCAATGGCAGACAACCACCATTATAAACAGCTTTGCTGTTTTATAATAGATTACAGCTAATGAATAGGATAGTACATGTATAACAATCATTATTAAAACCAGTCACTGGTAGCATAGTGGTTGTCGCATCAGACTCATGATCGGTAGACCCAAGTTCAAATCCTACCTTAGGCTGAACATCAAAAGGGTCGACCCCTACCCTGGGTGAGTGTGCCACAGACTCAATGGGAAGGTCAATTCACTAACGAATGCGACTTTGGGGGAACCTTGGTTAAGGCCTGCAGGTGCTTGTGTTCCACCGAGCCCGGTTGACGCCAGGATAGCGCATTAAAATTGCCATTTGATAGGGAGATGGCCACACAGCCCCTGTCATGTAGTTTCAAACAAGAAATGACTTCTGTGGCAAAATGCAACTGATGGTTTGTTTATCCTTACCTTTGATTCTTGACAGTCTATCTTCACAACAGCCACATCATTCTTAACTTCATATTTTATATGTTTAGCTGTAATCAATGAAATGCAAAATACTTTATTTTAGCTGAAATTATTTTTCACTGAAAAGACATTTTGGCTCCCCTGTATGGAGTTTATTTTAAGAAGTTTGATGAGTCGAATGTATTTAAATTAGCTACACGTCCCCTGTAAATTAGCTACACGTCCCCTGTAAATTAGCTACACGTCCCCTGTAAATTAGCTACACGTCCCCTGTAAATTAGCTACACGTCCCCTGTAAATTAGCTACACGTCCCCTGTAAATTAGCTACACGTCCCCTGTAAATTAGCTACACGTCCCCTGTAAATTAGCTACAAGTCCACCTGTAAATTAGCTACACGTCCCCTGTAAATTAGCTACACGTCCCCTGTAAATTAGCTACACGTCCCCTGTAAATTAGCTACACGTCCCCTGTAAATTAGCTACAAGTCCCCTGTAAATTAGCTACAAGTCCCCTGTAAATTAGCTACAAGTCCCATGTAAATTAGCCACCAATCACCTGTAAATTAGTCACTACTGAAATGTAAAATGCATTTCCAAAGAAATGGGAATGAAACTTTCTGACACAGAATAGCATAAGTATACTTACCACTCATAGCTGTAGAGACTGAGAGAGCACGATGAAATCGGGAATGAGAACCTGTTACTGAAAAAGATGTACAAATTATATGTATAATTTTATAAAAACACTGATAACCCAGAATGCCTTTGATTTTGTAATATAGTCTAACAGCGACGACATCCTAAGATGCTGAAAACTTAATCACAATCAAATTCACGGAACTGCCCAGCGATGGTCAAAAGTTGGAAAGGCAGATATTTTTCGATACTGTAGCTGCTACATTTATTAGTACATAATACTTGAAATGTAAAAGACTTCAAATTAAATTTTGCCAACTATGCCAGTTACGACCAAAAACACATTTAAGCTTTTTTTCGGTTATAGCGCCACCTATTGACAGGTTTCGACAGGTGTTTAGGCTTGTAGAACAAATATGGCGGCTGCTGCAGAGTTTTAGGCACCCGAAGGTCAAATACACCTTTGTTTTCAGATCTGTGTTAGATACCACACACTAAAAAAGTAGAGAGCAGTAGATAAATAGCACCTGGTCTGCTTGAGTAGTCTAAAATCACGGAAGAAACCAATTTGTGTACATGTACAGTCAAACCTGTGTTAACGACCACCTTAGTACAGTCCCTTCGCAATTTACACGTTAAAGACACTGGATATA